GGATTCTCAAAGAGCTGATCACCATTGGGAATGTGATCAAGCTGCAGAGGTAAAGGGGTTGGCCTCGGATTGCAGTCGGCCATTCCTGCAGTGAAGAGTATTTCCTCTGTATACTTAGACTGATGTAGAAACAGACCCGAGTCATGAAAGGAAGCTTGAATTCCCAAAAAGTAACTCAGCTGACCCATATCCTTCATTGAGAATTCAGAATGAAGCAGACCAATGAATCGAGTAAGTAAGTCTGGACAACTACCAGTGAGAATCATATCATCAACATAGAGAAGAAGAACCATAGTTGTTTTCTCATGATGATAAATAAAGAGTGAGGGATCAGCCGGGCTGCAGAAGAACCCGAATTCCAGCAAAAAATTAGCAAACTTGTCAAACCAAGCTCTTGGTGCTTGACGAAGACCATAGAGAGATTTTTTGAGTTTGCAGACATGATTCGGATAAGTGAGATCTTCATAGCCTGGAGGCTGTGTCATGAACACGTCTTCCTGCAAGTCTCCATGTAAAAAGGCGTTTTTAACATCGAATTGTTGAAGTGGCCAGTCCTTTGCAGTAGCAACAGCTAAGACTATACGTATGGTAGAGGTTTTAACCACAGGACTAAAAGTCTCAGTAAAGTCCACACTTCCTCTTGTAAGAAGCCTTTAGCAACTAAACGAGCCTTCAGGCGATCAACAGAACCATCTGCTTTCAGTTTAACCGTAAATATCCATCTGCACCCCAGAACATTCATAGTGTCAGTTGCTGCAACAAGATCAAACGTGTGACTTCCATAGATATTCTTCATCTCTTCATCTGCAGCCGCTTTCCAACCCGGATGTTTTAGTGCTTCTGCAATGTTTTTAGGTATCTTGGGGATCGTGGTATCAGTCAGGAGAACATATCGTTGATTTGGTTTAGTAATCCCTCGTTGTGCTCTTGTAATCATAGGATGAGAGGATGGCTCAGGTAGAGAGACTGGTAACAGTGAGGAGGAAGTGATAACTGTCCTTTCATTGAGAAGATGAGTGCTGTCGCCAATAGGATCAAGATCAATGCTTGCCGTACGCTCAGAACGCTCATCTCCCAATGAAGTAGTTATCTCTTGACCAACAGGTGTCTCAGCAGCTGGAGTGGATCGTGAGGGATGTACCTGAGATACAGTGTCCGGATCAGACGAGAGATGTTGATACCATTGAGAGGAAAGGTCCGGAGAAGATGGCTGATGAAGAGACGGGGATGGTAATTTGAAAGGGAAGCACATCTCATCAAAAATGACATGTCTGCAAGTAAACACACGGTTAGTTGCAGGGTGTAGACAGCGATAGCCCTTGTACTGAGCACTATACCCAAGAAAAACGCATTGGAGAGACTTGGGAGAGAACTTAGATGTAGTATATGGTCGGAGGTAGGGATAACACGCACATCCAAAGACTCGTAGGGCTGTATAGTGTGGTTTTTGCTGAAAGAGAAGCTCAAAAGGGGACTGAAAACGCAAAGCAGAGGAAGGTAACAGATTGATTAAGTAGTTTGCCGTATAAAATGCCTCAACCCAATACCGAAATGGTATGTGACTGTGAAAGATCATGGTAAGACCCAGTTCAGTCAAATGACGATGTCTTCTTTCAGCTAAACCGTTCTGTTGTGGTGTATGTGGACATGACATGAAGTGTTGAATTCCTTGGTCTATAAAATGTTGTTTGAGTTGATTGCTAGTGAACTCTCCTCCTCCATCACTTTGAAACACTTTGATTTTCTTGTTGAATTGTTTCTCAACCAACTTTTGGAAACCAAGAAAGACTTCATAAAAATCGGATTTAAACCGCAGAGGATAAAACCAACCATAGCGAGAGTAATTATCCACAAAGATAGCATAATACTTAAAGCCTTGAACTGACAAAGTAGGAGCAGGACCCCACAAATCACAATGAATCCTGGCCAAAGGTTCTAAGGCAACAGACTCTGAGGAAGAAAAAGGTAAGCGTGAGCTTTTTCCTAACTGACACGACGAACACACAGAGATAGACCCACAACGACTACTCCGGATGGAGTTATTATTCTTGAGGTGATGGAGAACTTGAGCATTGGGGTGTCCTAGACGTTGGTGCCAGACATCATCATTGGTGAACTGTTGCCTTGAAGAAAAGAACGCCAATGCTCCAGGATTCTCCAATCGGTAGAGACTGTCATGCCTTCTTCCCTGTGCAACACCTTCTGAGTAGATTTGTCCACAACACACACATAATCAGAGTCAAAGTAAACCCCACATGCAGCATCATCACACAACCTAGAGACAGACAGCAACGGTTTCTGTATAGTGGGACAGACCAAGACATTTTGCAGAGGTAACTTACCTGAGGGTGTTGGGAGGGAAGTAGAACCCACATGAGTGATTGGTAAGTAGTTACCATCAGCCACCATCACCGTTTCTGCACCATGATAAGGCTGAGCTGTCTCAAGATTTGCTGCAGAGTTGGTGATGTGTGATGAGGCACCCGAGTCAGGGAACCATTCTTGACCAGAAGAGCCTGAAATCTGCATTGCTGCCAAGGCTTGAGGGACATCAGTGCTCTGGTAGGAGTGATCAAAACGATTCCAGCACTTAAGAGCTATGTGACCAGTTCTCCCACAGATCTGACACACAGGGCGGTTTCCAGTCTGTTGTTGAGTCTGCTGTGAGTTTCCATTGCCACCAGACCAGTTGGAGACTTGCTGAGTGAAGCCACGACCACGAGTATTGTATCCACCACGTCCACGACCACGGTTATTGTAGTTTCCACGTCCATTGTTGCCAAAGTTTTGAGTTTGAGGCACAAAGGATTGAGCTTGGGCTTGAAAGGCCATGTGAGCATCCACAGGAGCAGGAGTATAGGCCTTGATGCGACTGTCAAAAGCCATCAGTTGAGAGACAACTTGAGTGTAGGTTGGAACAGGTGGCTTATGCATCGAGGTCTGGATTGAGGTAGCAAAAGCCTCGTACGGCTTGCCCAAACTGTGGAGCAGCCGAAAGATCTTCATATTCTCTGAGACCGGCTTCCCAATGGAGCTCAGTTGGTCGCAGATGAGCTTGAACTCACGCAGATAGTCTCGCATCTCCATATTTCCTTTGGTGAGAACCTGAAGACTTGCCAAGAGATCGTATTCTCGAGAAACAGAACATTGATTAAAGTTTTCAGCCAAAGAGAGCCACACATCACGAGCAGAACGACAACCATAAGTGTAACCAAGAGCTCCCTCAGACAGTGTTCCAAACAACCAAGACATAACAAGTTGATCTGTTTGTAACCACGCTTCAAAGTCAGGATTACTCACCTCACTGACTTCATTCTGAAACTTGACACGGATCTTCTCCGTAGGCTGCTTCTGACCACCGTCAACAAAACAGAGCAGCTTTTGACTTCTCAGTAACGCCTCGACCTGTGTCTTCCAGGCCAGGTAGTTGTCATCACCGAGTTTGACAGACACGAAGCTTCCAACGTTGATGTTTGTTGGAAACGGAAAGAGATCGGACACACCCTCTCCTCTTGGCTCTGATACCATGTTAGTCACTTCAGACATGACACTTTCCTTAACACAAACACGAAGTAGAAAGGATTTAACAAGAAAAAGGAGACAACTTTGTAAAGACAAGAACTTTGTGTATCTTCCTTTTTGTTTTCTACTGCTTCTTACAATCGTTTTAGATGTCTTTATATACATAAGACACAAGAAGCCCTAGTTCTAGATCTTTCTATATCCGTGTGACACTAGTACATTCACACGCTCACAACTGGAGTGGAGCTCAAGTTCGACATGCTCCGACTTTGTCTTTTAGCTCCATCTACTTCTTCTCTGCAATTGTTTCTTCTGCTTTTCGTACAAGTATCACGTGCCACTGTAACTTCTTTCTTTCGTGGGCTGATAATATCTTCTTTCTGTCTTGGGCCTTCGTCTCTTTGTAAGCCCAATTCACATACTCTGTTTCTTACACTTTCAATAAACATAGCCATAAACCCGAAAATGGTTTCTCAACAGATTACAAATTGGTTCTACAATAGGAGTTTTTTGCCTCTCTCTCTTCTCTCATATTCATCTTTCAGAGAGAGAGTGCTTTTTCTCCTTTGATGTATATTCCGATTAATATCGGATCAATAATTTCCGTTTAACGGATTTGGTTTTCTGGCAAAGACCGGATCTTTTGTTGTTCGTTTTGAATCTCCTTTGCTTGCTAAGAGTAATTCTTCATATATAAGATCAAGCAAAAGGTTTTTCAAGTTCGGACTTTGTTTTTGTCTTTCTCTTTCCTCTATTAGAGCTGGCCATTCATCTTTTCTTCATGAAGCAGTGGCGAGGCCAAGATCCGATGACAGAGAGTAGAATCTTCTACCTCTAATGGTGGCATCATCCTACCTGACCAGGAGTTATGTCTCCTTTCAACCCTTTAATGAAGCCTTTCAAGGCGTTGGGTGTTTGGTCATGTGTATTTGATGATCGACAGTAAAATTCTATGGTGGTGTGAAGTTTCTCTGCTTGAATCTGGATTGGATCTGCTCTTCGGAGGATGGCGTTTTCGATAAACAATTGATCGGCATTTCACCGGAATTTCGATCTGTTACTTTCGCCGGCGAGTTTGCAGTGACTACTCTTCAATTTCTTTGACCCACACGTGTATCACACGTGGCCATCATGCATTATCACTTATCTTATCTTTTTGTGGTTTGTAACAATTTGAGTTACTTGGGCCAAATTTATTGTTGGGTTTGTAATCGAAAATACATGTAATGCCTTTTGGGCTTTAAATTAATACAAAGACGACAAAAAAAAAAAAACAAATTGGTTCTGCAATAAAAAAGTACATCAAAATCGTTTCTCCTCAAACGTCGTCACTCATCATCATTTTTACGGATCTATAACCTATATTATACCCTAGTTAGGCCCAATTCTCCTGTTTGGTCCCAAAGTGAAATAAAGCCCAAAAAAAGGAAGCGTCTTTCTCTAAATTAACCCTAGAAATTTCCCTCTTCTTCCCGATTCCCCAGCCAAAACTCCAAAAAATTTGACTACTTGATCTGCTCGTTTCGATTTTCCGGCGAATATACTCGCCGGCCGATTACGCTGCTTCAGTCGATTTCTTGTTTGGACGAAGAAAAAAATGTCGATATCAAAGAGCTCAAAAATGCTTCAGTTCATCAACTACAGGATGCGAGTGACGATCCAAGATGGAAGACAGCTAGTTGGGAAATTCATGGCGTTCGATCGCCACACGAATCTCGTTCTCGGCGACTGCGAGGAGTTTCGGAAACTCCCTCCGGCGAAAGGCGGTAAGAAGACCAACGAAGAGAGAGAAGTCCGTCGTGCGCTCGGCTTGGTTTTGCTTAGAGGCGAAGAAGTGATTTCGATGACAGTCGAAGGACCACCACCGCCTGAAGAATCCCGAGCGAAATCAGGCTCCGGAACCGCCGTTTCTGGTCCCGGACTCGGCCGTGCTGCTGGCCGTGGAGTAACGACTGCTCCGCTCGTTCAAGCTCAGCCTGGATTATCCGGTCCTGTTCGTGGAATCGGTGGTCCTTCTCCCGGAATGATGCAGCCTCAGATCTCTAGACCACCACAGCTTTTAGCTCCGCCGATTATTCGTCCTCCAGGTCATATGCCACCGCCTCCTCCAGCTTTTACCGGTCAAGGTCCTCCTCCGATGATGGGAAGAGGTCCTCCTCCACCTTATGGTATGAGACCAACTCAGCAGCAGTATCCTCCTGGTCCTCCTCCGCCGCCTCAGTATGGTGGACAAAGGCCGATGATTCCTCCGCCTAATGGTATGATGAGAGGACCGCCTCCGCCTCGCCCTGGAATGCCGCCGCCTCCTGGTGGTGGTGTTCCTGTCTTTGCTCCGCCTCGTCCTGGCATGCCTCCTCCTCCGAATCCCCATACTCAGCAACAGTGATGAGGTTAGCTGTTTCATGAGTTCTTGAAGAAATTGTTTGATTGAACTGGTCTCGATGAGCATGGTCATGACTCATGCGTAGCTATTGCTTTATAATACATCTGCAAGTTTATTGTCTGGTGATGGTTATCTTAGCTTGTAAAGTTATTTGTGTAGCTTTGCCATTTGTAGTTTGATTGAAATTTGAACTCGTCTAGATCAGCTTGGTCATGTGTAGCAACTAGACTTCATCACTTGGCTGCAATCTTGACTAGTCTGGTAGCTTGCAAAGTTCTTAGCTTGTTGATGAGTGCCTTTTTTTCCTTAGAGTACGATCCCTTTGACTTTACTATCATCTTATTTGCCCCTGAACATTGGATGTGAACATAAGTGTGGAATCATCACCTCTATGAACCTTTAACTTTAGCATTTTTCTTGCACGCTGTTCTGATGAGTTATAAAACCGTAACTCTGACTGTTAGTAGCATGAAAACTTATTTTCCCAAGAACTGTTAACCTGTCAGTCTTCCTCCAAGAACGGTTAAAATCTTCCCAACTAGTAAAACCTCGCTGGTCCGTGTTTGTTGTTCGTTTTTGAACCTTTTCGTAACGCTGTGGTTGCTGTAGGGTTCACCATTATATTTACTGGTGGAAGAACTTGTATCTGCATCTTGCCCAACAACCAAACAGAATAATGAATGATGCCTAGCTCTCTGTTGGCTCATGAAATTAGATAAATGTTTTATATTTGTTTGAGAAGAGATGCTAAGTACAGTTTTCTTGATTGCAGGAGTCACTGCATCATCTGCAAAATTCACATTCACAGGACTGAGTATGCACGTCTGCTAGAATGCTTGACCTTTTTTTCTCCTAGGAACTCGAAAATCTATGGGTTCACGTTGGTTATCTCATGGAAAAGCAACGGATTTTAGAAATAGTGAATTTGTAGAAGTTACGGCATTGCTTTATGAACTGGATGTATAAATTGACTGGAAATTTTGATCGCCATTTTAGGTTATTTTTGTAAACAACAACTTCTGCAAAGTCTCTCAGTGGTTCATACACCACTCTGCACTGCACTGAACTGTAAGATAACACTTCCTACTTCAGTTTTTTTTTTTTCCTGCTATCACTACTGTGCATCTGTAATACCAAAATCAGAGAAAAGATACTGACCAACTAACATGCTAAACCCGACCGGTTGATTTGAAATGATGTTGATGAATTAGGTAATATGTATATACTCAAGAAACAACAGCATATACAAATTTATACTTCTTATATAATGTTAGCTTCTTTTAAAGTACCCACTTGAATTTTGTTAAAAAGAAAAGAGGGAAGCAGACAAGTGAAATTATTTGAGAAGACAACAGAAACATTGATTCTTAAAAAAACACATTTATATTGTGACTTCATTGTTGAATTTGACACATCCCCAACATCACATATATAGTAGCCTAGCTTTCAGTTTCAGTGTTTGTCTCAGATCTGCAGAATCACAGCCTCCACCGAGACCTCTGAAGCTAATGCTCATGAGCAATGAGGGAGTTAAAGGAGTTGGAGTAGTCCGCATTCTATGATCTCACACTTGTTGTACAAGTTGACTCTGAACTCCAAAACAAACTCACTGGAAGTCAGCTCTAGCTCAACTTCGAATGTGTAGAGATTCTCCCCTGAAAGTGGACGTCGAATATAGCGGTTTGGTACGTGCGTAACAATGTGGCGATTTGGTTTGTCCATGATGCCAGAAGTTCCTTGCATCAGCTCATCACTTGTCCTTTTGGTTTGACCAGACCTTGCTATCACACTCAACTAGCAAGAGGCAAGCCTTAAATCTCAAAGAGGTAGGAAGATACCTCTGGTTCAACTTCACTGTTAGAGAATCACCAGTGCCTCGGTATGTGAAGTAACCAGGCACTTGTTGACCCGGTAATACCACATTTGTACAAGTCCATGTCTGGAAGATGAGGTCACTCGTTTCTTTATTAATTTTGAAGCAGCTAGCGAAATTGAGAATAATCTCTGGATTGTGAAAGGAGCAATCCAGTCTCTCCACCAAAGACTCACGGTTTTCTTCATCTAGGGATGAGAAGGAATCTGGAAGCATTGGGTGTGACACGAGTTGTCTGCATTGCTTGAGTTCCAATACAAGGTTGAGCTTTACCAAACTCGAGCAATCACAGGCACTTAAGTGTGAGAGATTAGTTGCATTCCAGATGGAGGAAGGGAGCTCCACCAGACTCGAACAATTATCAAGATACAATATTTCAAGATTACATGCATTTCCAACAAAGGAAGGGAGCTCCACAAGACTTGTGCATCTTTTGAGATGCAACTGCCTGAGACTAGTGATATTCCCAACGGATGAGGGGAGTTGCAGTAGACTTGAGCATCCATCGAGAGACAGCACTTGGAGGTTAATGGCATTCCCAATAGAGGAAGGGAGCTCCACTAGACCTGTGCAGTAATTAAGACACAAGCTTTGGAGATTAGTGGCGTTTCCCATACAGGGGAGTTTCACCAGACGTGACCATCCACTCATATACAAATTCTTGATACTAGTTAAATTCCCGATAAAAGAGGGAAATTCAACCAGGCTCGTGCAATCCGACAGAAACAATTTCCTGAGATTAGTGAGATTTCGAATAGAGGAAGGGAGTCTCACTAGACGTGAACACCTACAGGCATATAACTCCTTGAGGTTAGTGATATATCCTATGGTAAAAGGGATGGCCAGCAGACTTAAGCAATCACTGAGCCACAACTCCTTGAGACTAGTGAGATTCCCAATAGAGAAGGGGAGTTTCACCAGATTCACACAACCAGAGAGAGACAAATATTTAAGATTCGTGAGATTCCCAATAGAGGAGGGGAGTTCCACCAGACGTGAGCAATAAGCAAGATCCAAGTCTAATAAATTAGTGGCATTCCCGATGGAAGAGGGGAGCTCAACCAAGCTATGACAATATCTGAGTCTCAGTTCTTGGAGTTTAGTTGCAGTTGAGAAATCAGGAAGCTCCTTTAGGTTTGCACAATAAGTCAAATCCATACATTTGAGATTTCCAATGTGCTGCACACGTAAAAATAAAGGTAACATGAATACATTTAAGTATATTTAGTAGAGTATATATTATAAGGCCGCACACACACACACAGACACACACACAGACAAGCTATATGATACTTATACTTACTTCATTTCCTTCCCACAGCTTCTCAAGCATGCTGTTCCGCATGTTTATTTTGACAAGGAGCTCCGGATTAAACTTGGAAGGCAAACATGTCAGTGGAAAACGTTCCCATTGTAGTAATATAAGTTTTCGAGATATATTGTTCAAACCTTGCGGTAAGAACAATATGTCGTCACAATGATCACCAAATTGGTAGTGGAATCTTATGAATTTCACCTGATAACTCGAGATCTATGCCTATAATAGTTCTAGTACCCTGAAAAAGGATCCAAAGAATTAGAAGAATTGTTAGCTATCAAATATGTACGGAGGAATATAAAGGCAATATAATGAAGTACAAATGTCAAATACTTACTGTATCATCAGTGAGTACTTGACGAATATCCCTCGCATCAACCAAAAACTGGCGTTTCCCTGGCTCACAAATGGACTGTTTCCCAGGCTCATGACGAACAATCTCTCTACCCAGTTGTTTTAGCAAATTATGCATCATTATATCTCCCAAGTTCATAGACATGATGAGAGATTTATCGGCTAAAATTTGGAGCCCTTGCCTCACATCCACAAACTTCTTTGCAAGAGAATCTTCTACTATCTCAATCGTTTCCTTATTGAAAACACAGGCTATGTGAAGAAATAAATCTTGTTCTTCTTCATCTAAGGAGTTGTAACTGAACTTCAAAATGCTCTCAATATCACGGGTCAAGGCTGGTCCTTAACCTTGGAAGTGCTTTCCTCCACTCCAGCTTCGACATTCGCCGTAAATACGAGCCCATAACCCTTAGTCCTAGAGGAAGTTTACCAGCAAGGTTTGTAACCGTTCGAGCAATGTCCTCAAAACCAACTTTAGGTGATTTCTGTCCAAAAGCATACATGCAGAATATTTCAAGAGCCTCATCAGAAGGTGGAAAATCAACTTTGTAAATATATTCGATCCCATGTGCCTTTAAAAGTTTTAGATCTTGTGTTACGACGACAATGCGGCTTCCTAGACCAAACCATCGTATACCTTTCGCCATGGCATCTAGCTGTACTAACCCATCAACATCATCAAGAACAAGAAGAACTTTCTTGTCCTTCAACCTCTGTTGAGCCACACCTAAATGAGGAACCACCATATCTTTCTGGTTGATCATCTGAGACAACAATTCTTTCTGTAACTGCAGTTTTGCGCTGTACTCATCGTGACAAGGTCTTGGGTAACGTAGTTTGATGTTGTCCATGATTGCGCTCAGTTGAAAGTTATGAAAGAGTTTGTTATATAAAGCTCTGGAGATGGTAGTCTTGCCAATCCCAGCATGACCCCAAATCCCTATCATTCTCACCTCATCAAGATCTAGTCGTAACAACGAGTTTATCTCCGTGACATGAGCTTCAATGCCAACAAACTCATCAAAATCTTTTGATGGCGTAAAACCCAACACATCAGAGACATCTTTTGAGATTTTAATGATCATATCCGCTTCATTTCCCCTGAAAAAATGAACTATATTTTATCAAACTTACACAGACAACGAAACATATATTACATCTGTATACAAGAAGAGTATGACATGAAATGCATTTAGAGAGGGAAAGACTACCAATTACGAGAATCCTCCCCGAGTATATTTGCGGCACTGGCTAAAGCTTGCCTCCATTTCTGCTTCACCTCCTCTGGTCTCCCAATACAAGTTTTTCTAAAAGCCTTCCCAAAGTCTCCCCTCTGCTTTCTCACATCATAGAAAATGGTCATCACTGTTTGACCCAAATCTTCTCTGCATTTCATAATCTCCACCAACTCATCAAGACACCAATTGGAAGAACCATAGTTTCTCGAGAGCAAGACGATCGTGATCTTAGATCCTCTAATCCCCTGTAAATTCTCAGGACCAATGGATCTTCCTCTCTTGATCTCATTATCAACGAATGGTGTGATTCCATTTCTTTGAAACTCCTTCTTGATGTGACTGAGAAAGCCTCTGCGGACATCTTCCCCGCGGAAGCTCAGAAAAACGGGGTATGACCAGTTGCGAGACAAAGAAGAAGGAATATATGAAGGAGATAGAGAAGAAGAAATATTTTTGGTTTTTCTAAGGAATCTGAATTTTCTATAGAACAAGCTTTTTGGAGGAGCGACAGTGCCAAGTAAACAAGAAGAATCCATTAGTATGATGGAAAGAAGATCAAGAAGCTTTTTGGAGAGCTATGTGGAGGAAGAATTAACAAAGAGGCTTTGTACATGTAAACACTTGACTTTTTTGACAGAGAATGTGGACACTGACTATATAAGAAGAAGGATCATGTAAGTTTCCTACCACCAAATATAATTATTTAATGATATTTTCATGGACATTTGTTATACGCTAAATCATTGACCCTATAATGTATGCTCCATCATTCATGGATTTTTCTTGGAACCTTTCTAACTTGATCTTAAGATTTATTTCAATCATATTGAAAAATTGATTGAGTTGTATAATGAGTACAATCAATCAATATGTACCTTATAAGCGTAGAGAAGCTCACTTTGCAACTAAATGAGTGTATAATCTGTAAAACAGGTTCCTCAATGGTCCAATCTCTCACTGTTCTTAAGGATCTATGGAAACTAACAACTTCTGAAAAGTCTCCCCATAGTTCACACACCACCTTCCACTGCACTAGTCTGCAAGGTAACAGTTCTTACTTCGTTTTTTCCTCCAATCACTACCGTGCATCTGTAATGCTCAAACATAAGACGGATTATAAATTCCGACCAAACAGTAGATTTGAATAGTTTGGAGTAACTAACCTGGTTTTTGTAATGAGTCCATGGTCCACAACCCCATCGATCGTTTCCAGGCTTTTAGCCACACTAGCTGCAGAGTTTAGCATCGATCAACACACATCTACCAACAGTAGAGAACATTGCACAAGTTTCAATGGTTGCAGTAAAAAAGCTTTTTTTTTTTTTTTTTTACCAAGGCTTGGAATTGGAGTTGTGAATATAACATCAAGAATGTTGTGACCATCACTGGTGACTATAGGAAAGTCTCCTCCAAGAGGGCCTGCATCTCCTACAGAAGCTCTTCTCCACACCTTCTCCACATATGCACAAGGCTAAACACAATCAATGTCACCAAAACCTCAAGAAAACATTTGCCAAAAAACCAGATTCATACCTCTGCATCCCCTAGATACAGGTCATCTATCTCCTCAGCTATAGCTAACCAGTTAAGCTGCAACCACAATGTTCAAGCAATCATTTCTAGTTTCCATGTATACATCCGAGTATTCATTGTCTGAAATTCGCTTACGGATTGAACTAAAACAGGGATAGAACCTTCAAGTTCAGCCTTGTACTGTTCTTCCTTTATTATGAAGACTGCCTCATCAGCTGCTTTTACAATAGACTGCATCGCAAAAACTCTCTTTGTAAAAGCCTAAAGCTAAACCATTTTCAAAGACCACACATTTTTTAGACGAAACCACACTAGCCTTTTGTCGCAGAATATAGTCATCTTCCTGTGATCTTCTTCGTCTCCCTATAACTGCGATAAGTGTATTCTCTTCTACAGCATCAGCATCATGAAACGCAAAATCAATCTACAAAGGAGAGGTGCCACACTACAAAATATCATCCCAATATGAAGAAAAAACAGATCAAACCGGTTTGTTTAGAAATGCACCGATGTATGCGGTTACCTGGAAATCCTCCCGGAAATGTTTCAAGGGGATTCCATATTTTGCTGCTTCACTCGCACTTCGAGCAGACCTGAACAAAAGGTCAAGACAAAAACTCAGCTCGTAGGAGAAGATGGATGGATCATGAACCAAGAATCAAGGAATGAGAGATTCCAAGTTTCCAACAGTTTAACAAGCAAAAGATTGATACTTTGTTGCATTCAAAGAAGATAAATAGGAGAATCAGAATCGAAAAGACTCACATTGGTACACCAACAACATCTTCTAGAGAACCAGAACGAAGTTGCTGACCCAAATAACGTATAGCCATATCTGAGGCTTCTCCAGATCCTAAACCAATAACCATCCCACTCTTTACATAAGCATCCACCTGAAAAATTACCAGAGAAGAGAACTTTTGTATTCAGGTATCAATCTTTCTTCAATTTTAGGAAAACTTATCATATATCATCTTGTATTCAAAGTATCGACCTTTCTTCAAATTTACGAATTTCAGCACAATTCAAACAATACCCAGAAGTGATATACCCTAATATTGGATTATAAACATTCGCATTCATAGGAATTGGTTGACTTTTGAGGAACATATTCTTTCAAATATTTGACCCTTACGGTGTGGTGAGCTGCTCGGAGAAGAGGAGGGGCCTCCTGAGAAAGACTGGCGCTTGCTCTAGGTAATGAAAAACGTCTGAAGTCACGACGGCGCGTGAAAGCCACGGACGAGAGTGAAAATGGAGTTGATGCTGCTGCAACTACCATTTTTTAGAAAAAATTGCGTCACCGAGTCGTGACTCGGTAGTTTTGCCGCTCTTATCCCGTTAAGTGTGTGTGGTGGAGTATACGACGATATTGAATTACCATCAAAATATATTTTCTTAATTGACAATCCAGAAAAAAAAAATAATAATAACTGAAGAAATGAAACTAAACTAAAAGTAAAACCCTTTGTAATCCGGTATGTTTTCAAACGATAAAACCGAATTATTCACCGTAAAAGAAACATTGAATAATTGGAAAGAACACAAAAAGAAAACAAAAACAAAAAGGAGTCTTTTTCAGTTCGATCGCACTTATTATGAGTCTTTTCCTCTGCTTTATTCATGTGGGAACCAAATACGTGGTAGCCACTCAAATTGGCACACAATTTTACCAGAACCCAATAAAAAAAAGTTTTCATTTTCATATTCTCGTGTGATTATTCACTTCTTCATCTATTTCTCTATCTCTCTAATGCTCTACGGTATATGTATATTCTATATAAATACGCACTCTCCTTTCACCGACCTCCGACACGAAAAGGCAGCTCCTTTTTTTGTGTGTGTTTCTGTCAATTCCACTACTTCACCATGAATGCTTTAATGTGTTTCTTGGTGGGTTTTGTGTGGTTTCATGACTCATTCATTCTCTGTATAAAAACTAGTGGCAAGCGCAAGAAAAACCCTATCTTTTTCAACTTTCTTGATTTAGAAGGGAGACAAAAATGGGTAGAGTTATGTTGGTGAGTTTTGGGTTTTTATTACTTGTGATCTCTTTTGGGTTTTTATCAAACACTTTGGGACAACAACAAGGCGATGATGATGGTGATGATGATGATGATTCTGCTATCTACATTGTCACAATTAAACAACCTCCTATTGTTCATCTTTATGATGAAGAAGAGCTTAAACAAATTAGACAGAAACACCAAAGGTCTAAGCATGGCCACACTTCTAAATTCATACCACAATTGCAACCAAGGTGATTCTTTATTTCGGAGTCACTAAATTCACAAAACCCTTTTTGTATTGAGTTTGATTTTGGATTTTTCTTATAGGAACATTTCAAGGAAACGTCATGGGAAGTCAAGAAGACCACCATCTATTGCTCAAACTCATGATTCTTTCTTGAGAAAGACATTAAAAGGAGAGAAGTATATAAAGCTTTATAGCTACAATTATCTAATCAATGGATTTGCCGTGTTTGTTAGCTCACAACAGGTATAAATCCTGACTTCTTGATCACTTTGTTGGAATAATCTTGACTTCTTGATTTTGAGTACTTGTTTGTTTCTTCAAGGCTGAGAAGCTTTCAAAGAGAAGTGAAGTAGCAAACATAGTGTTGGATTTCTCTGTTCGAACAGCTACGACTTATACTCCACAGTTTATGGGTTTACCAGAAGGAGCATGGGCCAAAGAAGGTGGATTCAAGATTGCTGGAGAAGGAATTGTTATCGGATTTATCGATACTGGAATCGATCCGAATCATCCTAGTTTCAATGACAATGACATCAACTCACATCATTCATCATATCCAACCCCTAAGCATTTCTCAGGTGTTTGTGAGGTTACACCTGATTTTCCATCCGGATCTTGCAACAAGAAGCTAATCGGAGCTCGGCATTTTGCACAATCCGCTATAACTAGAGGAATCTTTAACTCATCTGAGGATTATGCTTCTCCATTCGATGGGGATGGCCATGGAACGTAAGTACTAATCACTGAATATCTCATATGAAAACAGAGCTTGAAATTTAAAGTTTGTTACTTTGGATATATATACAGACACACAGCTTCGATTGCAGCGGGTAACCATGGAGTTCCAGTGATAGTTTCTAACCATAACTTCGGAAACGCTAGTGGAATAGCTCCTCGTGCATAGTAAGTAACTAAACAATACTTGAATCACTGGTAAAAAATCTTCACAAACCTAACTTAAACTTTTTATGTTTTTTTATTCTTGTTACTCAGTATTTCTGTTTACAAGGCATTGTACAAGAGCTTTGGAGGTTTTGCTGCAGATGTAGTTGCAGCTATAGATCAGGTTTACAAGCCAACAAACTAAATGTAACTAAAGGTTTTAACTTTTCTTACAATATGTGACATTTTTTTTATAATGATATGTGAGTTTTTCAGGCAGCTCAAGATGGAGTAGATATATTAAGTTTATCGATTACACCGAATCGAAAACCTCCTGGTGTTGCCACTTTCTTTAATCCTATAGATATGGCCATACTTTCGGCTGTAAAATCTGGGATTTTCGTAGTCCAAGCAGCAGGAAACACCGGTCCATCGCCTAAAAGCATGTCTTCTTTTAGTCCTTGGATTTTCACAGTTGGTGCTTCTTCTCATGATAGAGTTTACTCCAACTCCATAATCCTAGGCAACAATGTAACTATTCCAGGCCTAGGATTCGCAAGTAAGTCCTTAAATTCTTCCTCAAACACTAACAAATTTCGAATTCTTGTAACTATTGTAATATGTTTCTTTTATTAGTTCCTACGGATGATGGAAAGATGTACAAGATGGTCTCTGCTTTTCATGCCTTGAACAATAGTACTTCTGTAGATAAAGATATGTATGTAGGTGAATGTCAAGATTATGAGAATTTCGATCAAAAACTTGTCTCTGGGAGTCTTCTCATGTGTAGCTACTCTGTTCGTTTTATTCTCGGGCTTTCGACTATAAAACAAGCTTTAGATGTTGCCAAGAACTTATCAGCGGTTGGTGTTGTGTTCTATATGGATCCATACGTTCTTGGGTTTCAGATCAATCCAACGCCTATGGATATGCCCGGAATCATAATTCCATCTGCAGAAGATTCCAAAGTAAGAGAATGAAAGCAATGTTGTATTGTGTTTTTTGCGCCGTTTCTAATGATCTAACGATATGTTTCTCGCAGATTTTACTCAAGTACTATAATTCTTCTGTTCAAAGAGATGTAACCACCAAAGAAATTGTTGGATTTGGAGCGTTTGCAGCCATTGAAGGCGGTTTAAAAGCTAGCTTCAGTGATAGAGCTCCTAAGGTTATGTATTACTCAGCAAGAGGACCTGATCCAGAAGACAACTCTTTTAACGACGCAGACATATTGAAACCGAACCTTGTAGCTCCTGGAAACTCTATTTGGGGTGCTTGGAGTTCCGCTTCCATCGACTCACCCGAGTTTAAAGGTAAACAGAGGATTCTTGTTACAAGTGAAAAACAGAGGATTCTTGTACAAGTGAAAACAGAGGATTCCTGTAAAAAAGTCAGTAACTTTCAGGTTAAAGTTTCATTCTTTTTTGCTCTGTTTTAGGTGAGAGATTCGCGATGATGTCCGGTACAAGCATGGCTGCTCCTCATGTTGCTGGTGTAGCTGCACTAATCAAACAAACTTACCCGCAATTTAGTCCTTCAGCAATCGCATCTGCACTTTCAACAACCGCTCTTCTTAACGATATTAAAGGAGGTCCAATCATGGTTCAACGTACTTTTTCTAATCCAGATCAAAGCCTCTCTAACGCAACACCGTTTGATATGGGAAGCGGTTTCGTTAACGCAACCGCAGCTTTAGATCCTGGCCTAATCTTCGATACTAGTAAGTGTATATCAAAATTGGCTTAACACAGATAAAAACATTTCACTTTTTTGATTCATAATGTATTGTTATTCTTGTGTAGGTTTTGAAGACTACATGTCATTTCTTTGTGGGATCAATGGATCAGATTCGGTGGTATTTAACTACACAGGGATTAGCTGCTCCGATAACAACAAAACAATGAGCGGTTTTGATCTCAATTTGCCATCAATTACAGTATCAACGCTTAATGGCACACAATTTGTTCAGAGATCGATGCGTAACATAGGCGGAAATGAGACATACAATGTTGGTTGGAGTCCTCCTTATGGCGTTTCAATGAAAGTTGATCCTACTCAATTCTCTATAGCCATGGGAGACACTCAAGTACTAAGCGTAACCCTCAAGGCAATAAAGAACAGTTCAAGTTCTAGTTTTGGAAGAATAGGATTGTTCGGAAACACAGGACACATTGTTAATATCCCTGTATCTGTCATAGCGAAAGTTGCTTCGAGCTGATAGATAGATAGATGATATCTTCTTTCTCTTATCATTCAACTGTTAAAGATACATTTTTTATTTTTGATGAAAATGTAAAACCTTAGAAATGTTTTTCGAACACAAGTAAACTTCAATCTTTTCAAGCGTTTCCTCCATCTTTGTTGCCGTTGCTTGGGGAAGAAGGTAGCTTCTCTGTTTCCTCTTGAGCTCCAGATGGGTTTGTTGGGATGTTAGGGCTAACCATTGTGAAAGGTGGGTACTTTGGGAAAGGCCAGCCCTTTAGTGGAAACTTGTGGCTGAAGAAACCAGCAATCATTGATTTTGCATGGTCGATCATGCCCATTGCAGAGGAACCATCGATTATGGTTTCAGCTGATTCTGGTTCTGATTGCATTGTTGGGCCACGGATTGAGAGTGCAGGTTGATAACTGAGGAGGACGAAGACGAGAAGGAGTAAACAGAGAGAAGAAGCATTTGAGATTTTCGACATTGTTGCTTGGTGTGTGTGTGTTATCGAGCTCTTGTTTGTGATTGTATGTGTTAATGTTTTAGTGGAGGGTTTATTTATAAGTGGTGATATTGAGTTTAGAGAGAAGAGATGTGTTAGATGAGAACGAGTGTTGATTACGTTGGGTTTCTACTTCTCACCTAAACCAGTTTTCGTGTTACAGCTTCATGATTTGAGCATGACTATGACTATGAGTGATGCTTTTATGTGTTTATGCATACAGGTTTTCGTCGACGTATTATCCGAATCTAATTTCACATGTAACCACATTTTTATCAACATTTAAACCTCCAAAACATTTAGATACATTTTTAATGATATATTCTCAAATTAATTTTAATATAAGTATGTTGTGAAAGGACAATATTCACAAATATGGACAATATTCTATTATTAAATCTTGATCGCGGTTTGTAATATTTATTCATTTCGATTCGGTTTTCGTCGATCTCATCGATAATAGTCTCCCAACAAAAACATATTTAGTAAATTAACTTTAATGTTCACCAGCGTTGGTGGTGCATGGCATGCATGGCAAATGATAAATTAAATCGGATTATCACATTTGAACAAAAAGCAAAGAAAGAAAATTTACTAACAGAGTAACAAACAAATGCAAATGCTTCGATGCAGCTTACACAATCTGATAATCACTCGAGGTACACACACTCTAGAAAACTCAAGAAAGCAAAGAAGTAAGAAAAAAGAAGAGAAAACAAAAACAGAGGAATGAGACAGACACCGTGTGTAATGTTTTCAGGGGACGACGGAGGTGGATGCGGCGGTGGAGGAGGAGCATTTATTAGGCTGGACTAGACGAGAGATCGAAACGGCGGAGATAATGATCATAAGGATTACGCCGGCAAAGGCAGCGATTAATGCACCCGCACCGTGATCGCAGTATGTGGCGAATCTGTCACAGATTTTGTCCCATCTTGCGTGTTTGTTCCCATTCTTCCCCACCTCCGACATGAACGCCGCCGAGTTTGCTGCCGCCGAGATCAGAGTCACGTTCAGCTGTATTTTGCACAATCAGGAAGTGATTATTTTCAAGTCAGCACAATACATATATGCTCATTGTAATCGATCCTTAGGTTACAAAAAACATTAAAAGTGAGCAAAAAAAAAGCACTTTATTTAAACCAATAAAAAACCCATATATATTCAAGCAATTTTGTATATCACTCAACGCAGGAACGATCTGACTAGAAAGTCATTCAAAACTTGATCGAATGCAAATTAAGAAAAGCTAGTATTTTAATTTATAGAGGTTTTACCATATTTAAATTCAAAAAATAATTTAAATCAAATCTGATTATTATTTAAACAAAGTTAAAAATAAATGAAAACCAAACCGAAAGCCTTTTTTAGAATAACCAGACCGAATTTACCCAAAAACATTCAAATTTTCTGTTTTTGATTATATATGTTAGTAGTTATACTAAGAAAGCCTTTGTTTAGATATACTATTTACGTTAGGTGTTTTTTAAACTAAAAACTGAAAGGAGGAAAAAAAACTAAAAACTGATATCCAATCTAAACCAAAACTCAATCCGAAACCATACCGATTTTTTATAAAAAATCGAACTAAAACCAAACCGTTAATCTGACTGCCAACCACTACATTGATTAATCAACCAACCAATCGCTTTAAATTCTAGCATTAATAATCATAATCAAGCAGCCTTACAACAATTAATCGATTGCCGTAAAACCAATTTATTGATTAAACAATTAAATTACTTGCTTTGTTATTCTAATGTCATTTTCAAAACAACACAATAAGCTTAAAAAATGAACTAGCGGTCTAGTCGTTAACAACTATATACGGACTTTAAGAACACTAAATCCATATTTTTATCTCTAAATATATGTATGTATATGATATGTATTTATTTACCATGTCGAGAATGGCGACGGAGAGAAGACGAAAACCAGTGAGTTCCGTTTTGCCTCCAAATATTTGAAGAGCAATCATCAACATGTTGTGGAAACTCACCATTGCATTAGCCACTACAAAAAACCTTTATTTTTCCCAAACCAAGAATCATCAAAAAAGAAGAAAAGATTAGTCTAAAAATTCAAGATTTGGAATCTCAAAATTCTAATCGAAGTAATGAAGACTTACACAAAAGCTGGAGTGTGTTGGAACTTAGCAGTGAAAGTAGCTTTAATTGGAGTATTTCCAACATTTCCCACAACAAAAGTCTTTGTCTCTTTGTTCAATCCCATTACAATGGCTGCAGATAACGTAGCCAAGAAGGCAAGTACCCTTAGCCCTAACAGTATTTTGCAGCTTTTACCACTCGTAGCAGCCAACACCAGCTTTGAAACGGCCATTTTTTTTTGAAGAGGAAGTTGTTTTGTGTTAGTAATGTGCAAAGAGTGTTGTGTGTGTTTATATATGTGAGTTTGAGTGTTTGTGTTTGGTCTTTTGTCTGACCATCTAACTTTGGAGGGTTAATTTTAGGTTTTGGTGGTTGTGAAGATTCAGTGAAATAGATTTGATTTTTCTCTTTTTGTTTTTGTAGTTTTGTGGCAAGTTAACTTACTACTCATTGGGACAATCTAATCTACCCAAAACTTAAACAAGTATTAACTTATTGACTTTTCATTTTCTTTTCCAATAAAAAGTCGAATTATTTGATTATATTTGCATTTATATTTAGTGTACATTTTTGTGCAATCGTAAACGCTAGTAAATAAGCGTTTACATGGAGAATCACAAAATTATATCATGAAAAGCTTAACTTATTTTAAATTTTGAAAATGTGAAATCTTCTATAATTCTTCTAATGTACATGTAAAAGCATACACAAACACAACAAGATGACATAAGATAAACAATCAAAAGCCTAAGATAGAAAAAAAGTTTCTACACTGAGCTAGCTTGTGATTTTAGAGCTTTTAATGAAAACCAACTCTTCACAGAACAGATTGATTCAACCCAAATTTGGAACCGGTTCAACCGGTCGAGACAAATGAATAAACCAGAGTAACAATACACGAATGTGAAAATGCAATGTGAGGTCAACAGTCTAAACTCAATAAGAGAGATCAGTCCCATTGGAGCAAAAGAGCAAACCAAACCCATTTGTTCTCAAACTCGTTAAAACAGAGATAAAGAAATACCGATTTTTGGGGGTTAAAAGAAAAAGAAACCAAAGGTTTCCGAGTGCTATGTAAATCATATATGCACAAAAACAAACGCAGAGAAGGAAGAAAATGAGTCTCCTCTTTGATTAACTTTTATGGTTTGTTGTTACTCCAACCACGACATTGCTCACCTGCAAGTGTTTTTCACATCACTCGTCAAAGATCCTTCTTCGAATATATACTTTTTAATACAAAGAAATGGTGATAAGGAATACTTAATAATACTCACCAATTTTCCACTTTCATTAACGGACATTGGATTCTCTACAACAACGGTTTGTGTCTGAGTCTGAGAAAAGACAATGAACAGAGTAAGCCATGTTTTGAGGTGTTTTTGATTTGTTTCTATGAAGTTAATAGCTGAGTGACGGTAATTAGTAAACTCACAGTTGATGTAGAGGGCATTGTTGGTGGAGAAACTGCTCCATTAGGCCGGTTCATCGAGAGAGGAGCCCTTCCATTGCTCATCTACAGTGGAAGAGTAAATCAGAGACCAAGCTTCAAGACAGCGATCTTTGAAATCAAGAATCATGAAAAGAATACTCACGTTAACATTAGTAACGAATTGGCAAACAGCGCATTTAACAGATGATGCTCCATAAGGATACATGAGTACTGTTCGACAATGCCCACAATTGATATGCGCGGTTTGATTCGGTGGTGCTGCGTGTGGAGCTAAAGAGATAAGAGTGGTTTCAGACAATGAGATTACACAGAGTAAAAACATTTCAAATGACTACAGTTTCAAAACTAAATTAAGTAGAACTATATCTCAGAGGTTAGCATAATGGTTAACAAAATAGCCACACTTGAACTCTCTTATCCGTAAGCCACAATCTCATATTCGTATGGGCATCTCCAGAGAGAACAATGCTGATTAAGTTCTTAAGAACAAAAACTTTCAACAACAACTTTGAGAGGAAACTAGAAACGATTCTTTCAGATCTCCAGATAATGTTTTTACCTGGTACAAGATTCAAAGTCTGACAACAAGAACACCTAACGCTACTCGCACCACGTGTATACATAAGCATGATTCCGCAACCTCCACATATAATGTGAGCCATGTCCATACCTACACCAAAGTTACCATTAAAAGCTTTATCTAACTCGTAACTCTCAAACCTTCTTTTCCCCAGATAAGATAAACTTAAATCCCTCCAATGTTTTTTGGATCAATTCAAGAGTTTCTATTTCCCAATCATATTAATAGATAACTAAAACATAACAAGATCCCACAAAAACCTAAGAGATCATAAGATAAAGATACCTTGAGGAGAAGAATGAGGAACCAAACTGATTGTGCTACACAAAGCACAACGCACATTTGATGCTCCTCGTGGATACATTAACACATTTCTACATCCATGACATACCAACTGGTCCTGCATTTTCTCTGATTCATATACCAAAGAACACAATTGGTTCAAAAATCTCTCCTTTACAGCAAAAAAATCAAAATTTTGCAGCCAAAAAAAAAAACATAATTTTTCTTTACTCAATCATGTTCTGTATATGCATGTGCTAATTCCCCAGAAAACTCACCTGATAAAGTTTGGAACAGAGAGAGACGACAAAAAGCAACCTTTTTGAATCGAATTCCAGAAACTTCTGCAACCAAATAAAAAATCGAAGCCAAATTGGTGAAACTAATAATCGAAATCACAAATTCCGCAGATAAACTGAGAGAATTTTGTTCTTTAATCTACAGAGATGCAAACCTTAACTTAGGAAAAGTAAGCACAGTTTTGGGAAATCGACAAAGGAAAAAACAACAGATTTGATTTTGCCCTCTCTTGTTTGTCTCCCAGCGAATTATCTCTCACTTTGTTTTCTTTTTCTTTTTCTTTTTGAATCGAAATAAACAAATTGATTTTTTTTTTTTTTAGGATTATTGAGCTTGAAACATTGTCGTGTCTCTCTTTAGGTCACTTTCAGGGATTTTGCTTAGGCTCCTTTTTGTCAAAAGCGTGGGGCTGATTCGATCCGCGATTGTCAAAACGCGCTTTTGAATCTCTCTCTGTCTCTCATTGTCTCTTCCGATTTAATTTTCTGCGGCTGCGTTTTCAGTCCGCTGCGATTTGCCTTGTGTCCATATGGTTTACTATGATACAACCAAACCAACCCATATTGCTCTATTTTGGTATGATAGTTTTGGTTCGGTTCGGTGTTGTCAAATTGAACTATGACTATCTAAAATTAGCAAAATGTTCTCATTAATCTCAGAAAGATGCCGTTTGTTTTCTTTTTTTTTTCTGATTCCAGTCTTCCACAAAAAAAAAAAAAAAAATCCATTAACACAGTCACAAACCGCAATTGCCTAATACATTTTGTTTTTTTCTCCAGTTGCATATACATTTATTCCATTCGTTAAACATTATCAGCAAGTTTTTAATACTAATCAGAGCTTTTGTCGGTTCCATAACATACAAGAAAATAATAAAAACAAAAATAGTTTCTGAAAAAAGAATTGAAATAACGGTGGATAAAGAAGGAATATTTAGCAGGATCTGGACTCTGTAACGGCTAGTTCCAAAGTATCGTTTGATTATTATTGTATTAAGCACGCTCTTCCATACACATCTGCACTCAAAGAGAGAGAAGAAAAAGCAGTAAAGCACACAACTTTTTTGCCTCTTCTCACCTCACACATCTTCAGATCACTTTTCTTTGATTAGGCTTTTCATAAACCCGAGGGAAAGGGTGATTTTTTTATTTTTTTTGTCTTACAACATTACCTCAATTGAGAAGTGTGAGAAGTTAATCGCCATGAACATTTTCAAGAAGAAGACTACTCCTAAAGGTACTGTTATTGTCGCTTTGAGATGTTAACAACCTAAATCTGGAAGAAAAATGGCACCTTTAGCTGTTCTTCGTGCTCAAAATTGAATCTTAGAATGTGGGTGGGTGTGAATTTTGCTGGGTTCTTATTTTCCATAAAAGGGTATATATGATTCCTCAGTTAGATGTGTAATTGTGCCAAATCTCGGAAAAGGAAACTAGTTAGCTGCCCAGATTTAGTCATTTTCAGTGCTTGATTTTTTTTTTCTTTTTTTTTGCAATACTGCTTTTAATTCTATTGAAATGTTTTGAGTTTTTATTGTAATTGATGTAGATGCTCTTCGCACCAGTAAGAGAGAAATGGCTGTGGCTACACGAGGTATATATCAGTTCCAATCTCTTTGAGAATTTTAAATTTTCTGTTTTTAAGCTAGATTTTGTGTTTAAATTGCCAAGAAAATCCATAATTGCGATTGGAATCGGAGAATTGTGATAAACTATAACTTCATTGCTGCTAGTAGAAGAACTGAATTGTATAGGTTTCAATCTGCTTTCAAGCTAGATTTGTGTTTAAATTGCCAGTAAAATCCAAAAATTGCGGTCAAAATACCAAATATATGATCACATAAGCTTCATTGCTTCTAGTAAAATAACTGAATGTATAGGTTTCAGTCTCTTTGAGACTTTTACTTCTGTTTTTAAGCCAGAATTGTGTTCCTTTTCGCCAAAAAGTATCCAAATGATGCGAGCAAATATACCTTTATTGCTGCTATTGTTCCTGGAGTCTAGCTTTTGGGATTTTCTCATGCTCTTGCTTGTTCAAACTAGAAAATAAGCTCTGATTAATACCTGCTCTTTGTTGTGGCGGTGTTGCTAAATTTTACAAGCTAATTCTTAACCTCTCTGTTTGTGTAAAATAAACCAAAACAGCATAAAAAGAGCTAAGCTTTTATTCACTTTTTGAGTCCAATGGCAATGCAGGTATCGAACGCGAGATTTCATCTCTTCAGCTGGAGGTAGATAACATATATCCTCGAGATCTCTTTGTTCATATAAGTTCTCTTACGGTTTTACTAAGATTAAGTTCATCAGGAAAAGAGACTAGTTGCAGAAATCAAGAAAACAGCTAAGACTGGAAACGAGGCAAGTTTATCGGTTCATCTAAAAACTTTAAATTTCTCACCTCGAGCTATTTCTCAAAACTCATTTCTATAATTCTCTTACTGTGGATTTTACATAGGCGGCCACCAAGATTTTAGCTCGACAACTTGTTCGATTGAGGCAACAGATTACCAACTTACAAGGAAGCCGTGCTCAAATTAGAGGTGTAACGACTCACACACAGGTTTTACTACCTCTAATTCATCATTAGCTAAACTCATAGTTCGGTTAGAATAATACTAAATCACTTAATGCTTCTTCGTTTCTCTTTGGATAGGCTTTGTATGCCAGCACTTCGATTTCATCAGGCATGAAAGGTGCAACCAAGGCTATGGTTGCAATGAACAAGGTAATGTTAGTTTGTAATGAACAAGATAATCATTGTGATTTGTGACGCTTAACTTCGTTCCTACTTTATATATATGTTTTCAGCAAATGGCACCAACAAAACAAGCCAAAGTTATTAAGGATTTCCAGAAGCAGTCGGCACAGCTAGACATGACGGTAAACAATACATTATCTTCATCTCAAGAGCTTAGTTCATCTGATTAGCAAACGGATTTAGATTCTTTTGACAAATTTTATCTCAGGCAATCTCAAATGACCTATCTTTAGGGATTTGGCTTTGTCTGATATTTGATTTTGTTTATTGAATTTTGTTTTTGCAGATAGAGATGATGTCAGAGGCAATTGATGAAACACTTGACAAAGATGAGGCTGAAGAAGAAACTGAAGACCTCACTAACCAAGTTCTTGATGAGATTGGTGTTGGTGTTGCATCTCAGGTCAGGTTTCTCTGCAAAGGGGAAAAGTTTCTTCTTTTCATTTTTCTTCTTCTTTCCATTTTCTTGGTTTTGTAAGAAACTAAATGTGTCTCTCTTTCGTTTGTTTTGAACAGTTATCTTCAGCTCCAAAAGGCCGAATCGCTACAAAAAGCGCAGCTCCTCCTGCTTCCACTGCAACTACCAACAACAGGTAATGTCGATGTCTGAAAATCATGTTTGGTCATTGAAAATTGTAGTGAAGAAATGAAGAAATTTTTTTCTGTAAAATTTAAACTTGCAGCTCTGAATCAAGTGAAGTGGATGAGCTTGAGAAGAGGTTGGCTTCACTGCGACGAATCTGAGATTCAGCAAGTTTTCCAGGGGAAATGCATCATGTATGAAGAGCGAGAAAAATAAACGCAGCTTCCTTTTGTTTTTCTTGCTTGTGATCTCTGTATAAATCTGCTGAAACTCAAAACTGCTTTGATAAGATTTTGGTCATCATAAAACCAAACACTTTTAAATAGAAGCAGACATGTATACTACATTACTATAGAGTTCTCTTTACATGCAGCAAAAATTTCTTGACTTAAGATTTAGTTTAATAAACCATGTTTTTTGAAATAAATATATTTTCACTTATTTTTGTTAAATTTAGCTATAAAATTTCTATTTAGATAGAATCCTGACTCTGTCCAACCGGTTATATCCGGTTGGTTCAGTAGGTTTTTTTAAAAAAATTATTTTATTTTTAATATTGATTAAATTTTATTAAATCAACCATGTAGAAAAGTATAATAACTCCCTCTGTTTCGTTATATAAACAGTTTTGAAGGATTTTTTTTTTGTTTCATAATATAAGACTATTTTTATCGCCGTTTGTTTTTGGATTTCTTACCCATATTTAATATTAAATATAATTGAATTCAGTTCATTTGCTGCTCGAAGTGTAGATTGTTCATTTTATATGTGTTTTGATTCTCTTTGATGGACGGTGTCATTTGATTATAATCCATAATCCTGCACCTGTCATAATTAATATTATGATAGCTCTACACCATCGTTCAAATATGTTGTGAAAGTTGCATGTGTGTTCCGTAACAAGAGCTTCCATGTCTAGAATGAAAGCAAATGTCCTTTCACTTGTAAGTCTACTGTAATTTAGCATCGTCTTTCTCTATTTATTGTCTCTAACTCACTCACACCAAGGTTTGTGTTTCTGCAGTTGCATCATGTGTTTGAGGCGGATGGTGTATCATTTCTTGATGAGGTTGCACGTGCAGGAAATAAGCATATAGCCAAAACAATTGCCAGAGAGGTTAGTAGTCCTAAATAAAGAGCTTTCCTTCTTGAATTGAAAGGCTTACCACTGGTTTGACGCTGCTACTTACAGAGATTCCATACTTATTGAAAATTGTACTACTTTGTAACTTCTAAGTAGTCATAGATCAAGCCTCACTGCAAAAAGACTCATGTTAGTTTTCAAAATAACCTCACCATGTCTTCCTACGCACTCAAAGAACATCCTCACATATTAAAATTATTGCGAATCTTCACTGCTTCGTTCCCGACGTCTGCAAAGGTGATTTTTCCTCCCGTCCGCTACCAATATGATAGTCCTGGATCATATTGTATTACATACATTTGTTTCTTACTATGTGAATTGCTGTTGAACCTGCAGAAGAGGATAGGAGCCGTTTCATTCGGAATTTTATGAGTGGATTGCGAAAGGATCCTTCAAGCATATTGGTGAATCTATTACCAGGCTCTTCATATACTCCGGTGGCACAGAGAGGTTCTGGCGTTTTCAGAAACA